AACACGAAGGGGTTCATGCAAATCTAGTTTAGTTTTAAACATGTATCAATGAAACAACAATTTTAGGGTTCCATTTTCGGTTGCATTACAAATGAGAAATTTCCAAATAATGGCCAATCAAAATGAAATGGTTCAAGGGTGGCGGCTGCATGTATTTAGGGTAACAAGGAATTCAAGTATTGCATTAAGTGCAATTATTATGGTCAGGATCCCAGCCATTTAAAACCGATTCCCTCTCTTCCACACATGCATTAAACACTTTTAGTTACTCTATTTAAGAAGGAGAGTGTTCGAAAGTCATCAATGTACCTCTCCAATTTCCCTCACTTACACGTGGACTATGGTGCCATAATGCCTCATTGTATAATGAACCTGGGATGTATAGTAATTTGGAAGAACTCACGCATACTGGACAAAAGTCAATTGGGCAATTTGGGTAAAGGATTAGGGAGGGTAAGGGTCACATGAAATTTTTTTTTTTTTTGAAATCCCTCAATAAGATAACAATACCACATAACCAATTAAACTTAAATAAAGACTAAAGTTTATCATACTTTCCTAGGGTTGCTCAGTTAGTTCATCACACGATTTTACAGTTATGCATACATGAAAATAATTAGCCGTCTCCTAGAAGGAACAACTATGCAAACAAGGAACATAATATGATTGGGCAATCAACCATGAAAATTATAAGTCAAATAATATTTTCTTACTCTGTTATTAAGAAACATCTCGATTTGTAACAAGAACTAAAATGGAGTACAGAAAATCAGGCAAGGAATTACTAATTAATAGCCAACAATCCCTGCCATGCAGACTGAAATCGGGGATGTTACAAATGTTATTGGGAAATGTCATTAAAAAAGAAATACTATGCTAGAAAGGAGATGTGACAACAGTTCTGTTTTAAATTAAAGAATATTTAGAACTGCTCAAAAATTTTGCACTATACAATGTGTTGCATTTAAAAAAATGGTTCCACGTGGAATCTCTCTTATAAAGTGGATGTCACTTGAAAAATGGTTTATACAACCGCTCTCCAAAGTATGAGTGTAAACTGTGAATTTGAAATTTAAAATTAATTTCTTTATAAGTTTTCTGTTACAAACTAAAATTAATATATTATTATGTTTAAATTTTAATTTATAGTTCTAACATTCAAAATTTCTTCATTTTTATCACAAATTAAAATTGAATTTGAGTTTACATGTTGTGTTAATCAAACAGTCCACATCTGCATAAACCAAACACAAGTAAACAGAGAAAAATAAAACTAATTAATATGATGATTCACCGTTAACAAAGAGAAAAAGAAAGAAATAAAGAAATAATGGAGAGAACTATGAAAAAGTTATCTACAAAGACCAATTTATTGGCGTAAAAAAGATGAATAGAGCATAAAAAACGAAGAGAACCTACAGATGTGAAAGAGACCAAAGACACCAACTTTTTTAACGCAAAAAAAATAAAAAGAACTTACAAAGGTAAAAGAGACCAACTTTGTTAACAAGACAAAGAGATTCATGAGTTGAGCGTACTTCATTTATAAAAGTTAAAAACTTTAGAGAATGATTATTTATTAACTGCTCTCCAATATGTCACACTGATAAGTCTGTATTTAGATTCTCTTTTACTGCCCATATATATGTTTGAGATTTATTTTAATTAGGTTTTACATTGATTTATATGTTAATTGTACAATTTAGTATAAAAAGGTCACAAGTGATTTTTGGGCCCAAACTGATGAAAAATTAGAGCTTCGAGCAGTTAACATGTACAAACCCTTTTAGCAAGCATGAGAGTGCTTCGAGCTCATGCACGACTATGCTTACGGCCTTGCACAACCATGCTTATCTGCGGTTAGCTCAATTGATGAAGAACTTTAGGATTTTTAAACTCTATTAAAGAAAGACCACTGACACCAAGTTTTACAGCTTGTCTTTGACTTTTTGATACACCTGTTCATCTGCAGCTAGCCCAATTAATGAAGAACTATTAGGATTTTCAAACCCTATTAAAGAGAGACCTCTGACACCAAATTTTATAACTTGTCTTTGGCTCTTTGATACACATCTCATCTTGTCTCTCTTGCACATAATTTTTGACATACTTTTGGCGAGACTTGGAGTTTCGAGTGACCGTACTTGAAGATTAAGAACTCATTTTATTCTAGTTTATTTTTCTCTATGGCTTTGTGTATGATTGTTTCAATTCTTTCCTTTAGCATGAGTAACTAAGTCTATAATTAGGACTATGTGAACTATTATTCATGAACTTATGAAATTTTAAAGTTTGAATCTATATTTAGTTTTTATTCGTGATTAGCTTTTATTCTATTGGGCATAATTATAATCCTAATTAATTATATTGTTAGGCGATCGTACCTTGATTAGTTAATGAATCTATAGGATAAAACGAGACAAAGGATTAAGTGGATCAAATCAATCTTTCTCTTCTAATTGTTATTAAATTATCAAATCAAATCAATCTTTATTCTTAGATCTTGCATGACCATTGTAGATGTTAGTTTAGAAAAAAAAAATATTGCATAATCATTGGATATTAATTGTAATTGTACAAATGATTAGTAATCACAAGGAAATCAAATTGAGAATTAAACAGAAAAATTGTATAAGGGATCAAATGAGAGAACCCATATGTCTTAAGTTACTCTCCGATAAGTTTAACCAAAATGTTTGCTGTGTTATTTATTTTTAGTTCTAATTAGTTTCATAATTAAATTCTTATTTTTACATAATTTCACATCATTTAGACTCAAAGAATTGAATTAAGAAATTTTTAGTAATTGAAAAAAATTTGTGTGACGATAATTCAGGAACTTAATTTAAGAAACATTTATTACTTCTTGTCGGCACTTGCTCACCGAACAGACACGCTCTCTAATGTATGACTTTAGATAGCAGTTAATAGAAATCTGCTCTTAAAAATATAGATTTAAGAGTGGTTCAATGCTAATCGCTCTTAGAAAATAGTTAATAGACTTCTAAGAATGGTTCTCTATTAATCGCTCTCTAAATATATTGTTACAGAGCGATTCAAATGTATTGTTATAAAGTCGTTTCTATTGACCCTTATCTAAATTAGCGCTCCAAAAGCTCATTTTTGACATAGTAAAATAACATTACAAAGGATAAGATGAATTTTAACCCTACATTATCTAACACACTTTCCTTAACATTCTTCTAAAAGTTATTAAAAACTATAAAAATTATATAAGTCTTGTTCTTTCTCACTTCTAAATTAATGTTTTTTTAATATTTTTTATTTAATAATGAATAATATGTTACTTTATAAGACAATTACTTTATGGATTGTTTGATTCAATGATTCAATTTATTAACAAATTCAAATAAATGGTATGAATTAACAAGTGAAACTTGAATCTTCTTCACAAGAAGAATTTTTTTTCTTGGTTTTGAATAAGTGTAGCCCTACATTATATAAATGGACATTTTGGCTTTTCCTTTTCTTTTAAAAACTGTTGTACCATGTTTCAAGCAATCTGTGTTTTTTCTCCTACAATGCATAGAAAACTTATATATTTTCTCTTAAAGGATTTTTTTTAAACCTGTGCAACATTATACTGTATAATATTGCACAAAATATATAATAAATTTTTATACAAAATTATAGCATTTAATTGTTAATGTATTAAATTACATTGAATTATATAATTTTTAATAAAAAATTATTATATATAACTTATTATTTTGTACAAGTTAAAAAAATTATTTCTTTCTTTATGTACCATTTTCTCACGTTACAAATTAAACGTAAATAAACTTAAACAATGTATATTATATATATATATATATATATATATATATATATTATCTATGTGTTATTATACATTTAAAGCTTATTTGATTTAAACTTGAAAACTTAACTTTTATTTTAAAAAGCTTTAATTGAAATAGGTAGTTTAAATTATTAGTCTTAACTTTTAAGACTTGATTCAAATATATAGAAATAGTTTTTTATAAAAAAAATTGGTTAATATTTACATTTAGAAATATAAAAGTGTAATAAATATTTAATTTTTAATAAAATTATTATTTTTAAATATTTAAATTCAACTTTAAGAATTAAAGGTAATCAAATTTTAAATTAATTTATGTACAAATATTAATTATATTCAATAATTCAGAACTAGTTTTATTAAAATTAAATAGAATTAAATTATCTATACCAAAATATCAAGAATAGTTGAAACTTCAGAAAATAAGTTAAATAGAATGAAGAATATAATAACTCACAATATTTTAATAATCTTTAAATGGTGGTGTTCTCGCAAGAAATATTTTAATACTTAGTTCACTAAAAACTTAGTTAAAGTTAGAGTATAAGATTATACAAAAATAAATCTGTTTTAATTCACCTAAAAATTAGATATTTAATTTTATTTTCATTTAAACAGATATATATTTCTTAAATAAAAATAAAACTTTTTACTTCCTCTTCATTTTCTTTCCTCTCCTCCCACATAATTTTCAGTCTCTTTTTTTTTCCCTTTTCTCATAATTTTTCTAAAAAATTCTTTGCTTAAATAAAAATGGAATAAAATTGTCCAGTTCTAATATAAATTGGAGCTAATTTAAGCAGAGATTATGAAATAATATATTTAGATTAAAGATTTTTCTTAAAATCAAGAGAGCATGAGAAACTTGGATAGATTCCTTCCATGTTTTGAGACATCAAACTTCACTTTAAGCGTCAATATCCTCAGTTAAACTGGTTATTTTCAGCAACTAAAATATGAAAACACTTAAAATATTTACTGCCGAAGTTATGGGTGAAGGAAAAGAAATGGTGAAAATTTTGTTATTCTCAGAAATTGCTTGCAAAATTCCTCAAAACAGGAAACAAGTGAAAAAGGGAGCATCTATATAATTATTAGTGAAAATATATTAGCCAAAAATAAAAAAATATACAACAAATAAAACACCCTCTAAAGGTTTATATTAGCTTAACTCGCTGGCCACTGATCATAGTTGAATCTTGTAATGCTTACCCAACTACTATAAGTTACCAACTTTCTAATAACAAAATTGCAACACATAACCCTTGAAACTGTAAGGATTTTATTACGTTTGCTTAAATATTAAAACAAATTTCCTTTATTTTTTGTCTATTTTGAAAAACTCCCTATAGATCATTCTGAAATGCTTCCCAAAATAACTGTATCTAGATCTGCCCTAAAACTAAACATAAAATATTCAGATGTGAAATTGAACATAATGGTGCCCAAAAGTGATTCTTAGCCTTAATCACTGAAAAAATACTATTTGATCCATCTTCATGAATTGAAACTTGACAAATGATATGCGGCATATGACACCAACATACATAGACTTCAGAGTCTTCAATCTAGTAGGTGCCTTTTTCTTCTTCTGCACTTCTGTTCTTCAAGGATCATCAAAATTACCATAATTATAACAAAAACTTTCTAAGATCAGTTTCCAATCAATAGTATTTGTTGTCATTTAGCAAGCACCCAAATGAAAGCTTCATTTCCTGACGCAATCCCTGTAATCTGCCAATACTCAAAGCAATTTAAACATTTGCCTCATCCATCCATAAACTCTCAGGGGTTAAAACAATACTTTAATAGTCACTTAATTTTCCCTATCCTTAGTCTTGGCATAAGGAAAACCGGAACAACTTCAAGAGTAAGAACGAGTATGTTTCAAACACAATGTTCCCCAGAGTGATAGTTCCTTAAAATTTTCGTCTGCCAAAGCCAAATAACAAGGAAATGTCTATAAGGGGATAAACAAGGAGCTCATAATAAAGCAGCCTACAATTTTCTGTGACTATGAGAAGAGACTAAGAGTGTATTAGGAAGAGAAGGAATACATAAAAATCTCTACCTGAAGTGTTATATGTGTATATCACTCTAAGCAATTTATAATATCAACTTTGGCCCCTGGGGATTTTTGAAGTAAGTAATCTACTATTCGGCTTACTCCCTCATCAGATATATTTGAAGAAGGTTTCATTATTAATTTCACTGATTTCAACTGAACAAAGCAAGGAATTTGAGTTATCATTGAACCTGGAGTTGAGAGAACCTACACAATGAGAGTGAATATTGGCAAGAAATTTGTCATAAGGGATATCCAATGAGCAATATGAAAAAATAAAAAGGAGAAAACAAAATAAAGAAACTTACATTTAGAATCTTAAGGGTGCTTGAAGAGAGTATCAGTATCTTTACATAATCAGCAAGCAGTTGCAGCAAAGTAATTAGGGCTAAATGTGTCTTCTCAAAATGAGTATGAAAATAGGCTTCAACATCAATATTTACTTGTTCAAGAACAGAAAGATTGCATGTAGAGAGTTGGTGGATAGGATCACGCATCACCGAAAGAGATCTTAGATTTGGAGTAGAAAGCACAATTTTGAAAGTCGCTTCTTGAATGGTGTTGCCTATAGTCAAACTAGAAAGGTTGGAATTAGAAATGCAGAGGAATTTTGTATTGTGGTGTAAATTACAACGGTCAAGGACCAAAGTATTCAACATGTGACAAGATGAAAAGGGCTCAGCACAATCACTGTCATTTGCAGTAAATGTGACATGCTCAAGATGCAAGCTTGTCAATGCTGGCAATTGCAGGGAATTTGGAAGTTCAGTCATCCAAGGAACAGCCCAAATTGAAAGCTTAAGAAATTTCAAAGACTCGCACGAAAAAATGCAAGGGTACAACTTGAAACCAAGTTTAACATTTAAATTAACTTCAATTGTCAGCTGCTGAACATCATGTGACACAGCATATTCCATAATCCTATCCAGAAGATCGTGTTCGATGCATCCTTTACGCCTCAAATCTACACTATGCAAGGAAATTGAGGCGTCCCGATTAGACAGAACCCAAGATACAAATTTGCTGAAATGGGCAAGATTGGTAAAGTCTGAGGAATTAAATGCCAAATTAGTGAGACATTTCCAAAGTTCCCTCCATCTTGTAGACAAGACACAAGTTTGAACAGCATGTTTCATGTTCATAAACTTCATTAAATGAAGCAAAACTAAGTCAGGCAATTCACTGAGCCTGTCCATATCCTCTTTTCTATCTTCTCCATTCTGCATCCTTCTCTTCAATTCAACTTTCCCAATGTCCCTTTTCCTACAGTCACACTTGATCTAAGAGATTCAAACAAACACATCATAAATTCACTGTTCACAGTCACAAAAAATCATTCTTTTAATAGAAAAGATAACATCTTCTAGTAGGAAGATTTAATAGAAGAAAATCCTTTTAGAAGTGAAACCCAAAACAAGTTTCCATTTTCATCATACCCAATAATATATAAAATTTTGGGTTTGACCTTCTGCCCAAATTGGTCATGATGTTAAATAGCACTCAGAGAAAAACTAAAGTTACTAAACAACATAACACAAGAATGGTACAAAGCCATATTTTCCTAAGTCATTGATGAATTTTCATTGTGAATGATATGAAAAATACCTTGTGGGGTGGTTGTGGATCCAATTCATTCAACAGATTTGCAAATCAAACAAACTCCACCTCTAACTCGGGGGCACTAGAAGCTTCCGCTTAAGTCCTAGAAGCGTTTTTCTGAAGCTTTGAATCGTTAGAACAGTATCTTAGTGCAACACTGTTTGATCTGACTTTATTCTTCTAGACATATGCTTAACGTGATTGTGCGGACACCCGTTTTCGCTTCGACCTTTATGAAAGATACAGTGTGCCTTTAGGAGAGGGTGCACGTCGATTTAGATATGTTCTTTTCAAACGAATCTTCTAGTTAGCCTATGTAGATCCACGTTTGAATAGATATAAAATTTATGTTTATTTTAATATTATTAATTATATTTTTTGAGTTAAATTTATATTTACGAATATTTTAACATTTTTTAATTATATACTTACTTTTTAAATTTTAAATATATACTTAAAACAAGCGATAAGGTAATCTACTGATAAGAATATGGTTGAGAATGATAATTGATTTTTTTAATCTCATTGAAGAAAATATGATTCCTTATGAAATAAATAATCTAAAAAATAAAAGAAAAAATTGTGGTAGAGAATTTTTTTGCGAACAAACTCATAATTTATTATTAAACAATATATCTAATAAAAGTTTACCATTTAAATATAACACCTTCCTCATATCAATTGAAGTTTTTTTCTAACACCTTATACTCTCCTTCTTTACAATAATTTTAATTTTATTCTAAATTTTAGAAATAAATAATTTTATTTAATTTTTTATTATTTTATGTAAAATTTAATATTTTCTATCAATCACTGAATTTATATTTACAATATCTTATATAAATTTTCAAAAATTTTATAAATATCTTTGTTCTATAAAATTCATAATACTTTTAAAATTATTATAATTTTATTAAATTATTATTATTATTGTCGTCATTAAATCTTTATTATTTTAATATATATTATTTGTAATTGTAGAATTAAATTAAAATAATTTTTAAATAAAATTAATATTTTAATTTTATTATATATTGTATATATAAATTTTAAAACTAAATAATTATGCATTACATGAGCTATTAACTAATCTTTAAATTTTTTTAAGATACAAAATCTCTTACTAAGTACTATAATTATTAATATTAAATTATTATTTTAATTTAATTATATAATGTATATATAAATTTTAAAATAAAATAATTATGCATTACACTAGTTACTAATTAATTTTAAAATTTTTTGAAATATAAAATCTTTTACTATATTATAATTAATCACATTATTGAGAGACACTTTAAACATAAGTTTTAGTAGTTTTATGGATCAATGGATCCTTTCTAAATTATGTAGTAACATAACTATTTAGTTTTGATTTACTTAAGTGAATTGAAATAAATTTAAATAAATATCTATACAAATAGATTTGGCTTAAACAAATTAACATAATTTTTCAATCATCACAAGACAAGTATTACTAAATTCATACAATTTTGAATGGTTAAGGATTAACGAGACTCATAAAAAAAAGGTATAATGGCTTCCATATTACTATCTTTAACTCTCATGCACTTCTCTTCATAAGAGTGAGAGATTTCAACTATGTTTTGATGTTTGAAAGGGCACCAATAATTCCACACTAAGTGATGTTCTTGCACTTCTTTATCTGTAAGCTCTCAAGAGATCTTCCACTTTGCCAAATGTTACTAATTCACCATTAGAGACAAAACAACACTTGTGAAGGCACATCTACCTTAGGTTTGTGCAACCTTTACTCATGGTTTCTATGCTTGCATCATTTACCCCCTACACAAGGTAACATAAAGTGGCACTAATTTTTTAGACCATTAGCAACTCCTATGACCCAAAACCCTTTTTCACTCACATTTTGGAGACTCATTTGTGTGAACATCTATGCAAACCATTAACAACCTCTATCTACATGTCAATTTGCTTAAGCAAATCAAAACTAGAATATCAATGATATACCTTCGAAACTCATTTGTGTGAACATTTACTTAAATGAATTGAAATTGGATAGTTTTGTTCTTGCATAAATTGGAAAGGAGTCAAATCTTATGGGTAGTAGGCATTAAATTTGGAATATAGATCCTCTCCACTTTATGCAGGAACAAGATTATCCAATTTAATTCACTTAAACGAATAAAAATTTGCAAAGCAAATTTGCACACAAATAAGTTTCAAAGGTATATCATTAACCATCTAGTTTTGATTCACTTGAGCAAATTAACAAGTAAATAGAAGTTGTTAATGGTCTATGTACAAATGGATCTCCAAAATGTGAGTGAAAGAGGGTTTTAGGTCATGGGAGTTGCTAATGGTTTGCATAAATTGGTGTCACTTTCTGTTACCTCCTATTGTGAATAATTGATGCAAGCATAAAAGCCCTGGGTAAAGGTTGGTAGATGATAATAGTAGTTTTTGATAATAATGGTTGATAAATTTGTATTTTGACATGTTTTTATAACTTATATATTAATGAATGGTCATTATTTTACTTGAGTTTTGCACTAATTTCTATGATTATTATACAGATTAATATGAACGACAAAATTTGGGTTTTAGGTAGATTTTGGACCTAAATTAATTAGAAAATATGGCTTTGCAACAGTTAGCATACCTAAACCCTAACAATCAGCTCACTGGTGAGAAGCCTAACTTGATTTCCATCTGTGATTAGTGTTTGTCTTATTATGTATAATTGTATATTATAAATTTGTCATTTGTAACATAATCTTAATTAATTATATTGTAAGTGATCGTACCAAGATTAGTTAATAGATCTCTAGAATAAAACGAGACAAAGAACTAAATAAATATTTATTTTTCAATTGTTATTAAATTAACAAGTTTATAAATATTTTATATTTTCTTTACTTAATATTTTGCATGATCACTGTGAATATTAATTTAAATAAAAATATTAATATTACATAACTACTGGGTATTAATAATATTTGTATGGATGATTGATAATCACAAAAATATCATATTTAGAGTTAAATAGAAGAATAACATAAATAATTAAATAAGTAAACCCATATATTTTAAGTTTTTCTCCTATAAGTTCAACTAAAAAATGTGTTATGTTACTTGCTTTAAATTTTATTTATAATTGATTTGTTAGTTGAATCCTTATTTAATTTTGTATCCTTTAAGCTTAAACAATTGAATTAAGAAATTTTTAGTAATTAGAAATAATCCTTATAGACGATAATTCAAAAACTTAATTAAAACCATTTATTACTTTTTAACTAGTATATTTGCCAATAAACAATGATAGTTTTTCATATTAGCTGATAGTGATAGCGATGATAATTTTTTTATGATAGTAATGCTAAGGAAGAATGAAGAAAAATAAATATTTGTAGATAAAAGATTTTAAGCTTAAGCATTAAAATAAGATAAAACATATACCTCATCATATACGATCGTTTTTTATCACATAATTAATTATATATGTTAACATTTTATTACTGTATATTGACAATGTATAACTTGAATGACTAAAATAATTGACAAAAAAAAAAAAAACAAATGTGGATATTTTTAAAATACAAGAAACTAATAGCGTGCTCGTTTTTTATTTTTAAAAATAGTTCTTTTAAAATAATTTTTTTTATTAACATAAGTTTTATTTTTATTTTATTTTTAAAAAAATTTTAAATTTTTTTTAAAATATAATTTTTAAAATTTAATATTTAAAATTTAAGAGTATAATTAATATTTGACTTTCTACTTTGTATTTAAAATATGAAATTTAAATTATATAATAATATTAATAATATATTTTTAATTATTAACTAAAATTTATTAAAAATTATAAAATTATTTTGGTTTTATTTTTTTATTTTTAAATTAAATTTTTTCATAATATGATAGTTTTAAAGAAATTTAATTTAATTAAAAGTGTCTTGAAAACGTGTTAGAAATTAGATTCTTTTAAATCATAACACCTAACACTTTTCAATTAAAGTTGCTTTCTAAATTTTATTCACGTTGAAGCTTTCTTAATTTTCACGATAGGTTATGAATCTTAAGTTCGCCCCGTAAGTCCTGATCGGGTAATCATCAAGTTGACCTATTTTAACTTTTATTTTTAAATGGAATCTTTTTTTTTTTATACAAGTTACACATTTTATTCTAATACCCATCATATCCTACCAAAGCTCAACGCAAATTTTAAAATATTTTTTATATTAATTAAAATGATATGAAAAATTATAATTATTTTAAATTTTTTAAAATATTTATAAGATACAAAATTTCTTACTAACTATTATAATTAATTTTATTGAGTATTTTTTCAATTGATATTAAAATTACTCTGTTAATATTAATTATTAAGATATTATTAGTGTTAAACAGTTTTTTATTAATTTTAAATTTAAAAAATAATTCATGTTGAAATAACATAAATTATTGATATTGTTCCATAAATATATGCTTGTAATAAATAAATAACGTTTATAACAATTTATATATATATATTTGCTTTATTATAATATTTCCAATATTAAATAGTTAAAAACATATATTTTAATTAAGAATAATAACAAATAAAAGTTTTAACACTTTAAATTTAATTTCAAAATAACAAATTTCATAAAATAAAAATAATAAAATTTTCATTTTAAACAAACTTTCCCAACTCATAATTTCGATAAAGTATTTAAATATAATAAAGGTTTATAAGTTTTGATCAAGTAACTGCTACATGACTAATTTAAATACATCATATTTTTAAAATAAAATCTAAATTTTATAGCAGTATTATATATTCCTTCACTGAGTTTAGTACTGATCGTCTTGGTCACCTAGAAAACAAATGTAAAAGTGAGTACTCTATATTATTTGACACAAGTAAACATAAAGACTTACATCACACACTTTACATAATTTCTAACACATTTTACACAAGTATAATCAATCACAAACAACACTTTTCACTCATTCCATTTCAGTTCACAATTGATGCACTCATTACACCAACAATATTTTACACACACGTGCACTCACTGCATGTAGCTACGCTCACTGTAGCACTGTGATCACAGTTTCACGCCATGGATGGTTGCCAGATAGCTCCCGTCTCACGGATACAACGTGTGCGGTCACGAGCTCCTTGGCAAAGGTGTTAGTCAGAAGTCTAGTTAGGAGGAGAATGTGCATTCGGTGGTGCACCCACGCTCACTGTTGGTGTCACCACCACTCTCTCTTCCCCAAGGTATTTTTACCATCCCCATCTTCCACTCTTCTAGTGTATCACTGAATTATTCATAGCATATTCACAACCGCATTTATGATACCTTTTCATACACATTTCAGCCACATATAGTCTTCATATTCGCACACGGCACACAGGCCCACATTATTTCACAGCACACAACACATATGCCTATATTCCACCACATAAGGTTCTATCATACAGTTTTTATCATATATCCCTGCAACCATTCATTTTATCATACCCAATATTTCTCAATATCGATAGTACTAAGTTCAACACGATCTTTCTACCATAATTTCACTATAATCAATCAATTCTACCGAACACACACATTTCCAAACCATCCACATAACAATGCATAACAAATTACATGACATTCAAACACAATGAGATAGGGTAGAGTTTCTCCTTACCTTAGATTGAAGACTCACACACGAAATCAACTAAGAAAGTGCCCTCCACACGAATTTCGTCCTAATTACATGAAAGAATCCCATGAGAACCAAGGGAAACTGAGAAAATAGAGAATAGGGATGAGGAACCGAAACCTTAACTATTAAACTTACTTCCAAGCGTTCCCAACACAATTTCAACCTTTGATCTAGCTCCTGCATGACTTTAGAAGCAATTTGATCGGTAAAATAAGGTTTTGAATCGAGAGAATCGAAGAGATTTTGAAGAGAGGAATGTAAAATGAATTTTCCAAATCCTAACCCCCTTCAAATATCCCTCTAGTCGTAACACTCTCGCTACAGCGAGACACTTTTGCTGGAGCGAGGTATCTTTCGCTGCAGCGACGCCCTTTGTCGCTACAACAAAAATTTCAAAGGAAACTGCATCCTAATTTCTGCAGAATCTCGCTACAGCAAAACCCTTTCACTACAGCGAGACCTTCTCACTACAACGAGACTGCATCTAGAAATGCACCCCTCACTGCGCTCTCTCACTGCATCAAGGGACCTCTCACTACAGCGAGAAGACGACAATTTTACGCCTTTCTTCCAGGACCCTCTTGCTATAGCAAGACATTTCTTGCTACAACGAGGATGACACAGTTTCATGCCTTTCACTCAGGGCCTTCTCCTACAGCGAGAATACCCTACAACATACATTTAGCCAATTTCAAACAGTTTAGAAAAATCAATCTCGATGCACAATCAACATCCACATCATATTTTACAAATATATACATATATTCTCATTACCATTCAATATTCATCATTATCATATCAAACTCATCATGCACTCAAGTACACATTCCAACATCTATTCACACACACACACACACACACACATATATATATATATATATATATATATATAGTAATCAATATTACAAAAATTTGAAGCATTACAGAAGTCACACAATAAAATATTTACTAATTAAAAAATATATTATAATAAGATGATAAAATTATTTTCTTAAAATAAAAAATATTTACTCTTAACATATTTATATGTTAATTAATAATATTTATTGTTAAATAATAAATGTAAATAATTAATATTACTTTTAGAATTATTTAACTATAAATATTAGACCCTTCATGTTTAAACCAACCCAGCACAAAGGTATAGCAATAAATCCTCATAGTATTTTTTTACGACATTATTTATTATATATATTTTATTTTATAAGACTGTCAAAGAACCAATTATTTAACTTGTGCTTAAATCTAAAGACAACTTCAACGAATGAGAATGTTTCCTTAACCTTTATGTTTGACAAAATAAATAAATAAATAACGTGTGCTGCTGTAATTTGGGAAAAACAAAATAATTGAGGGACAATATTGGAAGTACAATGATATGAACGGAGTAAAGCATTCAGTGCTACAAAAACACGGTTCTGTTGAAGCAATTGCATTGCTCGCAGTTTAACACAGCGATTCCTTTTCACAAAGGTACAACTCTGTTTCTCACTTCCTTTTTTTTTGTTTTTTTCATTTTCTTCCTTTGGCTGTTTGTTTCCCGAGGAAATGGATTTTCTTTTTCTCTTCTCGTTTTCTTTTTCTGATGTTGGCTTGTATAGACTCCGATGCTCTCAACTTGATTAATTTCGAACGAGAGTTTAAGGTTTTGTTTTCAGGGATTCGTTTTCTGTCGATCAACAATTAATAATGTTTATTAGTGATGAATCGTTCTCCATTTCGACGGTGAAGTGTTACGGTTTTAATTTGTGAATTTCTATTTTGTTTGAAGTTCATCAGAATCATGGTTTTGGATTTGCCTTTGTAAATGGAATTGGCGTTGTTTTATATGCTTGAACGGTTCTAGTTATTTTGTTGTTCGCCTTTATCGATTTACAATTCTCATGTTTCGTATTTTCTTTTTACTGTATAATGATAATTGTTTATTTATGGTTGTATTTGTATTTCCATGTTAAATTTTGTGATTAGTAGAGCTTTCAATGGACTGATCACTTGCGTATTTTCCCCAAGGCTTAGGGTTTGACTGTTCGCTAAGTCTATGGTAGTAAAATCTGTAGTTTGGTTGTTTTACCATTCTTGTGCAATCTGATTTTCAAATTATCATTATAGCGTAGATTTGAACAACATTCCGATTTAGGCTTAGTCGAGAATGTGAATTGCGACTTCGCTTTGAAAGTCGTACTCTCAAAGATGACATTATTTTAGTATGTAAAAATATAAAATAATGTGTTTACAATTTTAATAATTATTTATTTTTACGCTTTATTGGTTACGGTTGTTAAGGACTTGTTCTAGATTTAACCAAGAAAAAAAGAAGTCATAATTGTGAATTACAACTTCAAAGTTGTGACTGTGAAGTATGACTTTCAGACTGTGTGTTAAAAATTAAAAAGTCATGTTTGGGGAAAGGACTCTGATATTTTTTTGTGCTTCAGATGGATTCAGTAGAGTTTTATGCTCATATAAGCTGTTGAATTGTCCAAAGGAGCATATTCATTTAGTTATTATATATGCTATAGTAAGACCATACTAATTATTGGGAGTTAGAAACAAGGATACAGTGTTACTTTCCTATAGAAGGAGTTTTGAATGGATGTTTCATGGCACCTTTCATCTTCAGAGTTTAGTTTCAGCATTTATATCAAGCAGTTTGAGATTCTAATTTGCTTGTATTATTATTTGTTTAAATCTTAACAGCCTATGCAATCAAATGTAATCTCATTCTTATTTATGTTGTAGTCAATCAACTTTGTATGTCATGACATACGCATAAAATAATCCTATTTGATTAAGGATGAATATTAGTTGAGAAGACAAGCATTTTTGTTTAGATTCTTTTTTGTGGTGTGTTTCCCTTTGCTTCTTCGTCAAATTCATTGTTCAGTGTTCACATTTTTTCATTTTATTACTGTTTTCTGGTTTGTTTGGCATTCTTTCAACTTAATAGGATTTGTTTCCACTTAGAGTTTTCACACTTTTCTCTATTTCTCCTTTTAAATTTTTCTTTAAATATTTGTCTATGGAAGCTTAGTAACTTACTGCATAAACCTCTTATGCTTTTTCCCAGTTGATCCAGCGACTTGAGGATTTCCTTGCATACTTTTGGTGTTTGAAGAGCTAATCCGTCTGCCAGAATGAAGTAATGCAAGCAAAAAATCTTCTTTTTAATAGTTTGCTTATATAATTTAGGAATTGTTTTTAATATGATTGAAGGTTGAATGGTCATGCTTATTATATATTTGTTTGTTATAATGAGATAAACTGGGGAATCTCTTCCTTGGGAATAATGTTTGCCCTAGATGTCAACATGAAAGTTTTAAAAAGATAATTGTACTGTCTGACATGTAGAAAAAATACAAATTTCACTAAAACAAAGTCACAGGCTCATTCTTGTATTTTGGTACGTCTCAATTCATTTTTGTGATACAAAATGAAGCCTGGATATATTTGAGGCAATAAATCATAAATGAAAAGCAAGAAGGGTAGGTTATAGCTTCTTTTGGGTCTTATCCTTGTCCTATGCCTATATGAGGGAGATGATGATCTTTAGGATGCCTTGATTCCCCAGGGGCATTATTTATGAAATTGGAAGAGACTGCAACTCTTTTGGTTCATTGTCATGAAGACTATGCAAAGTTAGATAGAGGTTGTATAATGGTTGAAAAATCTTTCCTGGTCAATTTAGCACAAATAGAAAGTGAAAGGTAAGGATAGAAATAATCATTTTTTGATTGTAAAGCTCAGACTGATATGCTGCTAGGGAGGTCATGCGGTGTCCATAGTCTGTTGGGGTTTTAGTGCAAATTATTTTTGAATAGAAGGGAAAAGGTGTTTCTTTGTGAACAGTATCTCACATATTTGATGATTAATAACCATGCTGTTTTGATGCTTTGCATGATTTTGGTGGTACCTCCAATAAATAAGGTCTACAGGAGGAACAGGTTGGACAGCGGGGAATCAAATGGGCATTATCCAACATAACAGAATATTAACTACACTTAATGTATGTTTGGTCCAGCCTATATTGGAGAAATAATTGCTTTCTTTTTGGCAGCTCTCTGAGAGCTTCTAAAAGAAAAAGCAATTATTTTCCTGAAAAAAGGAATTACTGAACATGGGCTTAGTTAGGATACTAACTCGAAGGGAACTTGTTTTTTAAAAACTGGGGGGGAATCAGGAGAGGGGCTTGCATTTTGGAAATTCATTAGAGGGGAGACCTCCAGCCTCCTGGTCCTCAAGTAACTGTAAGGTTACTATTTTGAGAATTGTATCGTATTGGGTGTCTGTTCATCATCACAGTGATACTGTTTAAAAGCAATATCTGCAATAAGATGTTTCTAATGTATTTCTGAGCCAGTGTCTCAGATTGTTGGTATAAAGTAACTACTAAAATGGCTGCAGGAGGATCACACCCATATTGTTGAATTACATAGTTATGGTAGTTGCAACTACTCAAATGGGAAAGCATTGGTATGCTGAGAGGCTTCCTTGGTTTTTTTTTTAAGGATAATCTGATGGTGAGGGAAAGAGTATGGAAGGCCAAGAGAAATTACCAATTGATAACATCCATATAGAGAAAGAATGGAATGTGAACAGTAACACATCAAGACACTATTTCTTTCCAAATTCCCATATCTTATTGAATATTGAATGTCCCTCAGAGGAATTTACACAGAAAGCACATTTGTGGGACTTAGATGAGAAAAAATAATTTATAAACTTATGTATTCTTAGATTTGTAACCAACCTTGTATACCGTACTATTTGAAACATTGCAAACCTTACTAGATTTTCAGTTCTTCAAGCTTTTCTGATTTGAATCTGTGGAGCATTCTGTTAATTTGGGGTTGTTTCCCATGGCCCAATGATATTTTTATACAGTGCAAAATAGCCAACTACAGAAACTAATGGTATTAGTTCTAGAGCTTCTATGATTCACTCATAAACATTTGCAAACACAAAAGTTGATGCCAAGTGCCATTTTGTACTAGCTACATATCCTTTATGTTTCATTTAATCTTCTTGAGTTTAACTGTTTGTGCATGAATACTGTGAGTTCTGGAGTCTCGTGTTGGAATTATAATAGGGCAATTGGTTCTCAGTGGCCCTTTGGCTTGAAGCTTGGTCAAACAACTGGTCCATTTCACCTTGTCTTCAAATTCAACTTCATTAAAAGGAATGGAGCAGTGGGGAACAAACTGTTGACCACTTGATTATAGAGGACTCAGATAACACCCTTTAAAGGCTAAAGCTATTAGTTGTAGGGTTGTGATAATATCACTGACAAAAAAACTTGTACCTGAAAAATATGATGCAAAATTGAGAGCCTTTGAAGGAAGGGAATGCAATTGAACATATGATCGACATTACCAATGTTATATATGATCAAATGAGATAGGGGAAAGTATGTCCTGCAGATGAATCAGTACAACCATTATTCATATCTCCATCGCCTAAATGACTCCCTTTCTACCCAAAGGAAATTTCCCAATAGCTGTGGTCAGTTTACTTGCTCAAACAGGAAGGCTAGACAAAGGCAAAAAAGTAAAGGGGGTGGTAGATAAACTTATTTGTGTCCAATAGACATTGAATTAAATTAGAAAAGGAGCTGGAACTTGTGTTTTCAAATTTTCTAATGTGGTAGAAATTTTAAATGAACATTGCTTCACCTGTTCAATAAATGTGTGCTTACTGGTTGAAAATGGAATTGCTTCCCATGATCTTTTTGATTTGTATACTATCCTACTTTTAAGGTAATATTACCCATTCTTAAGATTATGAATCTTGCATATGGTATCACATTGTAGGGGACGTGTAAGGTGGGATGAGGCTAATATTGGAGAAATTGAGGCAAACAAACCTGTGCGGCAGAAAATTACTGAGCCTAAGACTCCATATCATCCCATGGTTGATGATGACAGTATGTAAAATCACTTAAACTTCTGTTAATTAAGTCTGCATCTATGGATATGGTTATTTATTCCAATAATCTCCTGATTTTATTTTTAAGAGTATTTTCTATTAAGTTTATACTATAATATTGCTCTTGGGTGCCTTTGGGATCACAACTTAATTTAGTATTTATTCTATTAACTTTTTATATGAGGCCTTATGCTATAAATTTGACCATAAAATTTCTTGAAATAAGTTAGAAAGAGCTTATTCTAATAAGCTATACTGAGAAGCTTATTGTAATAATCTGAAAAGAGCTTATGGAAGTTTTTCTATAAACTCTTCTAACCCCCTCTGACCTCCCTTATTCTTTTTGTACTGGGTAAGTAGTGTTTTGTAAAAAATTCATTTCATAGTTTCAGTTGTAAATGTAAATAGATATGCTAATCTAAATTTGTTGATAGAGTGCATGGAGATGTTGATTTGAAGTTTTATTCTCAGGCCTGCTCTTTTGCTATAATTTTAAAGACATTGCGTGTCCAGCAACTCTTCTGAAATAACCTAATTTTTTAGGTTCTCTGTCCCCTGTACGAGGAAGTTTTGATGCATGTATTGATGATGAAAATCACACAGTGCATGCTGAAGCAATTTGGACTGCTCTGAATGATGCAACATCGAGTAGCAAAAGAGGCACTGGACAATCTGGTGGTTGGACATCATCTGAGGATGAGCCAGAAGCAATGGAGCAAGATGATGATGGTATTACACTCTTATTTGACATTCATTTGCTCTTTTTCACATAGACCATTATCATTTATTGCTTTTATTATGATCTTGTGCTTCTCCTTTATATGAGAATTTTAGTTTTAATGATTGATTTCTGATCCAAATAATTGTAATATTTGAACAATTATATAATATTACCTTAATTGGCATAAATTGATTTTAACATGTAAGGATTATAAGGTGGAGAGGTGTTTACTTTTGCTCTGACACGTATTATGGAATGCCTCTGTAGATAATAATGGAATTAAGGGTTTCAACTTCTGACAGGCATAGTGAAAATAGCCATAAAGGGATTTGGTTGACATTGCACTAGTTTTCAATTTGTGTTGTTTTAGTATCATAAACAAGAATAGAAAGTTACTACTTAATGCTGTGAAATTTCCCACTTTCTAAACCAGAAGTTATATCAATATGTACATAATAGTTATAAAAATACGAATGATTTATAATATACCTGTTCCTTGGAAGTGGTAACTTGTATTGCTGTAGATCTTGGAAGTGTACGTCTGTGTAAATTGGTCTCCAATGTCGGCTTGCAAACAAGTTTACCCCTTCAAGTTGTGAACCTGTAAACAATTTCATCCCTCACAGGACTATTTTGTATAGATGACAGCTTTCAGGAATTAAAGCTGCACAAGTTGTCACTATCAAGGATCAAATTATATATTAACTGAAAATGGATTAACCGTATGTTGTTGCGGAAGACAGCCTTGAGAAATGCTTGCATATGAACGAGTCAGTTCTGTCCTTTCTTTAATTAACAACAGTGGTGACCAATACGTAAATTGATTTATACAGCCTATAATGTTTAACAGTCTTGATAAGTATTTGTTTTGTGTGGGCCCGAGCAAAATGTCAGGCTTGGAGACTGTTGCTGCAGTAACCAATCGTTTTACTGTTCTCAAATTCAGTAAACTGTATGATAATGAGTTTTGATAATTTTGATTGGGAAAAAGAAAAGGTATTGGAATCCTGCAATTTCTGTCTCTGGTTAAGGGAAGTTATTCTATTTCGAGGAACATCAAACTGTTTTTGCCATTTCACATCATGAGTAATTAAGTGATTTAAGCTTGTTGCTGTTTTGATAGATTACCTATTCTTTTAGCAGCCTAACCTGACTTTTCCTGGGTTGGAAACACTATTAGATTCTGAAACAGATAGGAACTTAAGTTTCAAAGAGCACAGAAAGGCCCACTATGATGAATATCTCAAAGTCAAAGAGCTGCGACAGAAGGGTTCTCTTCTCGAGGATGAAAGCGACGACGATAACAATTCTGAAGCTGTCAAGGGAGAGGAGAAATGTGAATCTTCACTGAGTGATAGTGTAAGACAGATGGACATTGAGGGAAAAAAGTCCCGCATGCCTCCATCTAATGGTTCTTAGATCGTGATCTACAAGAAAAACCCCTTGTCTTTTCATTAGTTTTATTTTCTGGGTTGGAAAAAACTAAATGATTCACTGTATTATTGTATCATTAGTGTGTAAATAGTTTTTATTTCTTCACCATGTCTATTAACGTAAACTGGCATGATCCATTTACACTCTTGTCCCATGGCAAATTGGTTTCTGTTGTGCATTTTTGGGGAATCTGCTCGTGGCTTTTATAAGTAATTAATGTTGGATGCTTATAGGGTGGATATATCCCAACTGGAACTATATTGCATCAGTGGGGTAAGAGCTAGTTTTGGCATGTTGGGACCTAATGAAACTTAACGTTAGTGGGGTAAGAGCTAGTTTTGGCAAGTTTTGGCATATGGGGGGACCTAATGCGAAGCTTAATGATTACATTGCTTTCGTAGGTAGCAGAGTAATTGAACAAACATTAAATAAGGCAGTGCTTGAAGGTTTACAAGTAGCAGAATATTTATTTCATAAAGGCTTATTTGATGCAATCATATCCTGTAATCCTTTAGAAGGAGTTGTAGGTAAATTATTTTAACTCTACTCTTTCTTTTTATTTAAGTCTATTCTTAACATTTCTAGGGATTAAAACAAATAACCAATTATCTTTTCTTTATTCACTCGATGGTCTGATCTGGATTACTGCAGCACAGTGGTGAGTCAACTGCATGATTAACAAACTTACTTTTTAGTTAAAATTTATTATTAAATGCGGTCTTTATTATTAGTTATAATTTATTAAAAATTATAAAAAATGTTTTAATTTAATTATTTTTGCTTGTATTTTTATAATTTTAATAAATTTTATCTAACAAATGAGAATATATTAAAATAGTACGCGTATAAGAAAGGGCATGATGTTGGTGAAGGACAATGATTTTATGGATATTTTGCTGTGGAGTCAGAAGACAAGCACCACAGGTTTTCAGATTGATAGAACAATTATAAAGCCTTTGGTTATGGTCTGAAAATATTATCTCTGCTCCAATTTTTTATCCATATAAAGTATTTATACTATTTAAGTAATTTAACAGTAAAAAAGTCACTAATAAGGAGTAATTAGGAAGTTTAACAATTGGATCTAATAAAATGGTTAAATTTTTTAATTTGTTTAATTTTTTCTTTACCTAAACATTTTCTGTACCTATGATATTTTTCCTTACTCTCATCAATACTTCACTCTCTCATCAATATATTTGTTCATATATGTATGGATTTAAGAAAGTATAACATTAAAGATGCAAAGTGTAATAAAGATTTTTTTATTCAATAAAATAATAATAATAATAATAATAATATTATTATTATTATTATTATTATTATCTTCAACTTAAATTCAAGAGTTAAGATTAATATTTTTATTTAAAATTATTGACCAATTAATAAGGCTCAATTTTTTTTTTGGGGTCATCAAAGTGTTTTTTTCAAGTTGTAATATGTGGGTTGCTTGCGTTCCTATCTTAGCCCACAGTACAAACACAGGCCTCGAAAATTTTGTAGTCAGTTTGGATGAGTTTTTAATCAAAAAATTGTTCAATGTAATCATAAATATGAATTGTAGTTCAATTTAGATATAATCTCAAATCCAATCTAATGTAATTCTATATATTATAATTTATATTGGATTAACTATTAATTTTCTTTAATTTTTAAAAGGAACAATATATAAACGTTAAATAAAAACATCAAATACACAATAAATATAATAATAAAAAACTTATCCAAAATATTAAATATCTTACTCCTAGTCCCAACATCATCTAAGCTATTTACACTAGTTAAGTAATCTCAAATTTTTTAAAATAAAATTTCATATTTATATATAAGTTCAACAAATTACTACTGTTCTGCAGACTTGTTATTTCTTATCTTATAATACTTATTATTTCACATTAAGGTTATATAATAATAAATAACAAAAAAAATCTAATTAAATTAATAAACCTATAAAAATATGTAATTCAGAGAGTTGGATTATTAAAAAATAAATGGTATATTAAATTTATAAATACTTGATTAATGTGAATAGTATATTACTTTCATAAAAACATTACATGTAAATATATGTTCAATTTGAATTGGATTGGAGTGATGTTTGAAATCATATCCAAATTTAACTCAACGTACGTAATAAAATTTTTAGTTATTTTAATTTTTAATTTATCCATTTTTAAATTTATTTATTTTTATTCAGATTTTGCAATAATTTATTTAGATACAATTAGTTTATTAACATATCTAATTCAAAATTACACACTCAAATATATTATTTTTTATTAATTAAAATTTATTAAAAAAATATAAATAAAAACTATTAAATTAGATGTGAGATTCGCATATTTTTTTTAAGGTTTAATAAACCTTTTGATCCTTATAAAAGTTACAAAGTTTAAAATTGTCCCTAAAATAATTTTTATAAAATTTTAGTTCCTAATAAATTAAGCATACAAAAAATTAGTTACTCTTATCAGTTTTTATTTGTTAAGTGCCAAGTTAACTTACGAAATTTGGCTCAATATGGTAACATGTTATATATGTAATAGACTTTTATCTTATTTAGCATATAATATTTAATACTTTAAAATAAAAACTTAAAATTTTAATTCTTAGAAATGTTATTGCATTTTGAATTATTTTTTAAATATTTTTTAAAATTTAGATCTTAATAAATTAAGTAAGTAAAAAATTAGTCTTTAATTATAGCTTTTGTGAGGAGTACTAAAAAAATACTATTTAACATACTATTTTAAAAAAAAATTTAGTTATTGACTAAAATTTATTAAAAAGTACAAATATACAAAATAATAAAAATAAATTAGAAGTAAAAAAGAATCACATAATTTTTGTTATTTTTAATAAATTTTAACTAATAATTAAAAATATGTTATAAAGAATAGGATATAGAGTGAGTTACTAATATTTTTCTAACCTTACTTAGTTAAATGTTGATTATAAATATTTTAACTTAATATTATTACATGTAAAGTAATTAACATACTCTTATCCTATTTAGCAAAGAGGAAGCAGTGAGTTTTGAAAACTTGGATGCATGTCTTTCTTTCTTTCTCTCTATTCTATTCTACTACAGGACGAAGGAAGTTATAGTATTTTCTATGGATATATATTGCAAAAGTGTTTTTATAAAAGTGTTATAGAGAGAATTTTACTCAATATTTATTTTTTTATCCTTTAATATATTATAATCATTTTTAAACATTAGATTATTACTATAATTAAACTTTTATACTTTACTAATTTTCAGTGGAGTCAACTTTGTTTCACTCTATCAAAATTATTTGTTCTTATGTTAATTGTATGATATAATCTTTTAAACAAAAAAGAAATTTATTGAAGTAACTATGGTTTTATTTAAATTAAATTTATCTTTTTAACTTTCTGAAGTACCAAATTATCTTTCAAATTATCATAACTAAATTTGTTTGATATTTCATTTTTAATAAAATAAAGTCAATTTATTGATTTTTTTTAGACATTGTTGAGCTTAAGAACTCTATATATTTAAGTTATCTATCACTTAAAGTAATGTATATATTTTTTGACACTTAAGATTTAGCACAATAATTTAAAAAATAATTGATATTCTAAAATTTATTAAAACAACTTCGTATTGTACTTTTGTTATATTAATTAATATCTCACTTTTGTTATCCTCTTTCAAGCAAGTATTAATTATGAAAACAAATTATTAATTATTCCGTGATTTTATAAAATAAAAGTAAAAAATAAAACAATTTTAAATAATATATATGTTCTTGATTCTTCAATATCGAAACTGTTCTGAAACCCTCAAAGTCTTAGATAGTTTTAAATCATAACTGTAAAAGTGACATAATTTGAACTTGAAGAAATACTTTTTTTATTAATTTAAATTTTAAGAAACATCAATCGATAAAAGCTGATAGTAATTAGAGTTATTAGAATTAATTATTCAATAATTATTATATACATTTAAACGAGCATAAATGAAATGAATCGAAGAGAAGAGAGGTGAACGATGTTAACTCATGAGACAAACGTGGATGAGACCCTTTTTTCTGGGAAAGTTCAGAAAGGATGTTGTATATATATATATATATATATATATATATACACACTCATAATAAACTAATTATATTTTAATTTCAAGATACGAAGAGAATGATAAAACATAGGGATAAGATCTTTATTTTTTATAGGAAACTAAAAATTCCTAAATCTTAATTTCTTGTAACAATCCAACATTATTTAACAAAATAACAATTAACTTTTTTTATATAAAAAATATTACCAAAAATAAATAAATTTTTTAAGAGTATAAAAGGAGGACTTTAGCTTTACCTTCTCAACCCTTATAAAATATGAACTTTAATTTCATATTTCCCTACTGTAAATATTTGCATATTGATTGTTAGTTTTATACTCACTTTATACCCGTTTATTTCTAGTTTTTACTTTTTATATCACTAGTTACTTTATTACTTTCTCTCTTTCTATTTTTCTTTTGTGTTAATTTTTTTTATGCAAGTGTTAAATTTTATTCTCTTTCCTCAAAATTTGACATGAAATGATGAAATATTAAGATGATGAATAATTACTATATTTGGAAAAAGCAATTAGATGTCCCTTCACGTGTCAGGGAAGAACATGAATAATTATAATAGGATTCGTCACTATTTATGTAGACCCTACAAATTAATTAATTTTGATAAATTATTTTTTGTACGATAAATTCTTATAATTTTTATAACTGTGAAAATAAAAAAGGAGAAAAACTGTAGAGTAAAATAGATAATACGTTGAAAAGAAATAAGAAATATTATTATAAAATAATCCATAACTCCTAATTTTTTTTGCCTCTCTTTTGTAACTTGACAACATATTTGATCCCATGCATTCAGACTAATTGTGTATATTAATTAGTACCATTACAAGCTAGTTTTATATATATATATATATATATATATATATATATATATATTCTTACATTAGTAAATTTTAAAAATTTTATACTTAATTTGAGTCTTTTATTTAATTTATATCTAATAGATTATAGTTTATTACTTTATTTATTATTAAATATAAATTAAATAAAGAATTTAAATTAAATATAAAAATTTTTAGACGTGAAAATATCTTACTATATATATATTAATAAAAAAAAAGCTACATACATATTTTACTCAGCTCGAAAAGTATTTTTAAGCAATAGTCCTCTAACTGTCTTTTTATGTTTTAAAGCAAATTTTTAGGACACACGTAAACAGAAAATAAGAATCACGTGAGCCGTGAGAGATAAAAATAATTATTATATACAATGTTACAAATAACACTCAATTTTAGTGATTAGTGGAAACTGTTTTGCATATGCGTAAAATCATGGAACCTGAACCTGTTCTTTACAAACACATAGCTAATGATGACATTAACGCTTATAAATACCCGAATTAGATTCGATATTAAATCAAGAAAAAAATTACATTGTAGCCTTATTAATTCATCATCCACAACCGAAATTCAATGTCAACTTTTGTGCATGAAAACTCTTCATGCTGGTTCTTCTACCCAATGGTTATTTTCATTCTGATACTTCTAAGTATTTTCTTCAATCTTTTAACGAAATGGAGCAAACCCAATTCTTCAAAATCCATAAAAAACTCACCACCATCTCCTCCAAAGCTTCCAATATTAGGAAACCTCCATCAACTTGGCCCACTCAAACACCGCACTCTCCAATCCTTTGCTCAAACCTATGGTCCCATGATGTTGCTGCATTTTGGTAAGGTGCCAGTGTTTGTGGTTTCAAATTCTGAGGCGGCATGTGAGGTTATGAAAACCCATGACCTTGCTTTCTGCAGTAGGCCACATCGTAAAATGTTTGATATTTTCTTTTATGGTTCTTCCGATGTGGGATGTACTCCTTATGGCGAATATTGGAGGCAAAAGAGGAGTATTTGCGTCAAGCATATTTTGAGTATGAAAAAAGTTCAATCTTTTAGTGCAGTGCGAGAGGAGGAAATTGCCACAATGACGGGAAAAATTAGGCAGTGTTGTTGTTCTTTGGTACCAGTGAACTTAAGTGATTTGTTATCTATACTCACCAATGACATACCGTGTAGAGTCAGGGATGACAATGGGTAGAGTATGGGTAGGGTACCACAGTACCCATCTCCATACCCCCGCGTTTTAAAAAAATACTCATACCCGGCCCCATACCCGTGTGGGTATGAACATTAATCCCTGTACCTGTACCCTCTGGGTACCCGCATACCCGTCTTGTACCCATTACCCGCGCTTGTTTGAGAAAAAAATATTTATAAAGAAAAATATGTTTATATAATTTCACATAAATAGCATAATAATACAAAATTCAATATGTAGTTGTCGAACAAGGTACAAATATAGATAAAAAAACAAATATTTAAAGATCATAAATGTTAAATGTATCTTAATATAATAATTTTCTAAACTAAAATTCTTATAAACAATAAGCAAAACTAAACACACAAGTTATTTGTCAGTGATAATCCTATCTTGTGTGAGATTTGATTGATTGGTAATATCAGAACGACAACGAAATAGATCTGTACAATGATTGTCCCTTCGTGTGGGATCACTTAGTAACCTCTTGGGACGGCATTAACAACTAACTCTAATGAATAACATTTCATAGTTATTAAATTTTAGTGAGACAAACATTGAGAATTAGAATAGAGTTAGAGTAGAGAAGTTCAATACTAACAATAGAAAGTTGATACATAAAATATTTTTTTTAACTTTTGAATTTGAAATTGTAAGAAAAATAATAGATTTAATTAAAATAATATAATATAATTAATATATATATATATATATATATATATTAATACTAGTATTTTTTAACTCATACTATACGAAAGTATTTTATCAAAAATATAAATTTTTAAAAAATTATTTTAATGAATTAAATATTTATAATGTATATAAATTTAAAAAAAAGAATTTGAATAAAAGATAAATAGTTACAACAAAATTTTATAATAAAGAAATATACGTGTATATTAAAAAAATTATACTTTTTTATCTTAAAAAAATTAACAAATAAAAATTAACAATAATTTTTTATATTTATATCTTTTCAAAAACTTCTTTGAATGTGAATAAATAGTAAGAATAATATTATTTAGATTCAATAGATTATAGTTGTGCTTGTAATACATATGTTGCATAGAAAAATATTATTTTTAATTAAAAATATAAAAATAAAATTTAAATATTATTAATAAATAATAAGTTTACGGTAATAGTAGGTGATTGTAAAATTTATAAAATATTTATAATATATTTATTATTTATCATTCACTTTATGATTTAAACATCAATATGATTTTATTAACAAAAATATTTGTGTAAAAAATATTTTATGTGTGTCATATATAAATAATATTTTTAAAAAAAGTCAATCTCATATTAACAATGTAATAATTAAATTGTGTTAGCCTAATTAGATGATATAAAATAGTAAATAAATTTTTCTATTAAAAATATAAACTAAAATAAATTTTTTGGTTTACTTTATTATTAAATATATTTTTATATTAATCTTATATAACTTCACATAAGTAATATAATAATACAAAAATTCAATTCATAATTGTAGAATAAAGTTCAAGCATATATATATATATATATATATATATATATATATATATATATATATATATATATATGCGGGTATGGGGCAGGGTGGGTACTTAGATACCCATACCCGCACCTATCCCCATTAAAATTTGCGAGTTTTTACCCACACCCATATCCGTACCCGTATAGCAGGTAAATACCCTACCCATTGTGGATAAATTTTGCGGGTGCCCATCGAATACTTTACCCATTGCCATCCCTATGTAGAGTGGCTCTTGGAAGGAGATATAGTGGAGAGGGTGGGAGTAAGCTGAGGGAGCCTATGAATGAGATGGTGGAGTTATTGGGTGTTTCAGTTTTGGGGGATTATATACCTTGGCTTGATTGGTTGGGAAGAGTTAATGGGGTATATGGAAGAGCAGAGAGAGTTGCTAAACAATTTGATGAATTTTTTGAAGAAGTTATTGATGAGCATGTTAGTAAGAGAGACAATGATGTTGATGGTGAAGGCCAGAATGATTTTATGGACATTTTGCTGGGGATCCAAAAGACAAACCCCATAGGCTTCCAGATTGATAGAACAACCATAAAGGCTTTGACGATGGTAAGATTTAGTAGAGATGTGATATTAATTTTGGGTAAAGTCCATTACTTTGATTCTTGATTTTATGCTAATAAATTTTTCTTGTGAAATTTTCACTTTACAAAATATTATTTATTATAGTCTTTAATATCAATAAAACACATAACAAAAAAAATAAAATAAAACAAATAATATTTTGAAAATATAAAAATTAAAGTAAACAGACACTTATAATCATAGAAACTAAACTAAAAAATCAGTCTTAATTCATTAATTTTGTATCTTCAATATAAATAAAATATACACTTTTTACTATATTTTTTTTTTATCAATTTTTTACTATATTATTAGATGAAATTTGTTTAAGATATACTAAATGATGCGAATTTTATTGGGTCCTACTTTCTATTTAGAATGTGTCACATAAATTTATCTCATAAAGAAAAAATTGCTAAAAGGAGCTAAAATTATATTATTAATATTTTCTTTTATAATATGTTTTTACACGTCACTTTCTTATGCAAAAATTAGTTCATGTGCTATGCAAAATCCTCATACATGTTGTGTTTCAGGATATGTTTACTGCAGGTACTGAAACTACCTTCTCATTCCTAGAGTGGGCAATGACAGAACTGTTAAGACACCCAAATGTGATGCACAAATTGCAAGATGAGGTGAGGAATATGGTGGGTGATAAAGCACAAGTAACTGAGGAGGATTTGAGTAACATGCATTACTTGAAGGCAGTGATTAAAGAAGCTTTTCGCTTACACCCTCCAGTTCCCTTGTTACTTCCAAGGGAATCCGTGCAAGATATCAACGTGATGGGTTATGAGATTGCATCTGGCACACACAAATTTGTTAATGCTTGGGCAATTGCAAGAGACCCTTCATGTTGGGACCAACCACTAGAATTTCAACCAGAGAGATTCTTGAACAGTTCAATAGATGTGAAAGGACATGATTTCCAATTGATCCCATTTGGGGCAGGAAGAAGGGGTTGCCCAGGCATAACCTTTTCCACGGTTCTGAATGAACTTGTCATGGCAAACCTTGTTCACCAATTTGATTGGACTGTGCCTCATGGAGTAGTGGGGGATCAAACATTGGACATTTCTGAATCTACTGGGATGGCCGTTCACAAAAAATTTCCTCTAGTGGCAATTGCATCCCCACGTATATATAAGAAGTGAGTTACTTCAAATAATTAACAATAATGAATAACATGAAGGAACATAAGGGACTGTATCCTTAGTAATGTTTTTTCTTTTGGGTCAAATGTATTATCAGAATAATGATCTATGGCCAAGAGGGAAGTTGATCCTAGCATAATCTATATATTGATGTATCAAGCTGGTCATCACGATCATGTTGTATTCTATATTATTGTTGGGGTCATTAATTACAATATTCTGTTTGATTTGTGGTATTCTATCTAAAACAGTGAAACTAAATTTGCTGCTTCATTTGATAGTTAAATTATTTAACCAGTTGCATCATAAATTTGGCTCTCGATCTTTTGCTACATTGATTACGCATTAATATACTCAATTAAAATTAAATTGAAAAAGGTAAATTGTTGAAGTCTACATCAATAATTTTTAAGTTCATATTAGAGATTCATATTTTATAAAAATAACGTTTTATTTAATTAAGATTTATCGTAAATTTTCATTTTTATTCGTTTAAAAATACATTCCTGATGGTTTGCACACGTCAAACATATAAAAGGTTTAAAAATCATTTTTCATACAATAAAAGTGTCGACATATATAAGAGTATTTTAAATATGTATATATACTATAAAACAATATAAACTAAAAAAAATAATCATATACACCGTCAAATATAATTGTTGAAAAATATGGTAGAGATCAAAGAGATGATAAAAAAATTGATAAAAATTAAATTTGTATTCTTAACAAAAAAAAATTATAAAAGAATTTGAATACATAAAAGGTCTATCTATTTTAATTTACTATTAACTAAAATCTTAATTAATTGAATTTTGTTAATCTCAGTTTGCCCTTAAGCTGAAGATAAATAGTTAATAATAATATTTATTTTTAGCTCTTAGAGCTTATGTTAATAAAATGCTTAACTTTAAACATTTCAATTATCTCTACAAGATACATATCAACGCATCTAGCTTGAGATGAATAACAAAAACATAGATCAGTAAAAAAAAGTACAATAGATAATGCTAGAAATAAATCGGTGAAAATACAGAAGCATCCACTCATTGCTTAACCATCCCATAAATACATTAACTCCTTGCAAAATTAATATCAGAGTTTAAGCACTCAAGGCAAAAAGCTCGTGTAATCAATTCTTAATCATTAAGGGCGAAGGCAAGAAATCTTACCAAATACACTTATCAAGTATAAGCTAAACAAAGCTTCAAAAACAATCCATCGTCGATTCCAAAGGACAAATGAACCAAAGAGTATACAGTGTACACACCATTCCACTATGCCAGTGTGCATGTGACTTTCATCTGAGAATCTCTAAGCAATTTTAAACCTAAAAGTAATGGTCCACGAAATAGACATGCATGCACCCTTCCAATATCAGGCTAAAGCATTTGTCTCTTGGGCAGCATTATGTCATCACAAAAACAGCTATATTTAGCTTTATTCACTGTCACCTGAACCAAAGCATAGTGATGCTTTGCCTTAAGAAACAAGAGATACATGTCTTGGTTCGGTGAACTTGTAAAATTTTACAGAAAAAGAAAATTATAAAAATGAATAAAACTTATTTCGTAAGTTAAAAATAATTTATTTTTTAAAACTTTTTGGAACTTCTAAAATAATAAAAAAAGTATAAATTGTTTTTAAGTATAAAAAAAAATTATTATTTTTATATTAATTTTTTTCTATAAAAACTTATCGAAAAATTTATCTAAATATCCTGTTAACTTCGTTGCAACAAATTGAAACTAATTCAAGAGGACAGTAAGAATATGATTACACCGAATGAAAAAAAGCCAAACGTTATTACTGAAAAATGTTGATTTACAAAGATTAGAAATGAAAATATTTGTATTTTTGTTTCACAAGGAGCAGAGACAAATTTAATAATTTAGAGATAAAATATAAAATAAAATAAAATATTTAATATATTAGAGAGAAATATTTTTTGTATCAGTACAATTTGTATTTAATTATATCCTTATTTAAAAATATACAAAAAAGAATGTACTGTAGACTCAATTAATTTGTCTCAAAATATTTCATCCGTTAACCTAAAAAAGAAAAAGAGTTTAGAGACAAGAACTAGAGACAAACAAAATTCATCCTAGATAATTTACTTTTCTCTATTTTATTAGTAATTTTAAAATTATTAAAATTAAAAAATTACTTATAAGTGTGATAAATTGTTTAAAAATTATTTATAATATTTTTAATTGATGATGTAAATTTTCAATTTTTTTATTATAAATTGATATAATTAATTTATAGTTGGAAGGATTTTCTATTTTTGAATTTCTATTTTTATTTCTTAGTAAAAATATATTCATTATCAGTAGTATATTTGAATTATAGATAAAATATATACTAATTGAACAAAATATTTTAATGTAAATTGAACATATTAAATTAATATATTAAAATTTTAGTTATTAATATTAAAAATATTATTAATTTATTTTCAATTATAAATAATAAAGTGAGTTCGGTGCATCGAGTAAATCTAAATAATTTTACAATGCATTGATATTAATAAAATATTTGATGTGCGTGGGCAAATTTAACCGTTAAACCCAAAATTATTACAATAAATTACTAATATAATTGAAATTTTTTAATAAATTAAATTTATTTTATTATTTTGGATGGATATAATATTTTTATGAATAAACTATCTATCAAATAATGACTGAATCTAATATAAAATTATAATAGAATATCACAATTGTCTTCATAACGTTACTAACTTATAATTAAAACTTGTTTACAGTCTTTTTTTTTTCGCTAAAAACTTGTTTATAGTCTTTAATTCTTACTTTTTATTCTATATACATTTTAAAATTTAATTTAATAATTTTTTGGCATTGTATAGTAATTATTAAATTAAAATAAAATTTTAAAAAGTTAACTAAAAATAAATTATATAATTAATTTTAATTTTAATAAATTTGAAAAAATTAAATATTATAAGTCTTTTCTAATAAATATTGTATAATATTAAATTAAATTAAATAAGTTGATAAATTTTATAAATTTGTATTATTAATGATGAATTATAAGAGTTTATATGAAATGAGTTATTATTTAGTTTATATATTTTTTTCTATACATCAACATTTTATTAAGAATAAATTTATGGTACAAATAGTACTCTAATCCGTTACAATTCTAAAGAGAATTAACAATACATGTGAAGTGATCATTAATCCAATTCGCATATACAATCGATCTTCTTGAAAGTCCTATTATAAGCTACTTTCAAGATACATATCCTAAACATGTAGTTTAAATTTTGATCCCTTCGTAGAATTATCTTTCATAAATTTATATCAAACTCGTAACTTGGAGTTGAAGTCATACTCCTTTCTTCTCACTTTACGAAGTACACTTCTAACATTAATTCTTTCTTGCATTACCGCCTCAACAACAACATTGAATTGAATAATTTCATATATATATATATATATATGAAATCTAACTATAATAATTAACACCTTAATCAACTAATTAGTTTTAACCGTCTCAATTAGTATATCTAATTATAAGAGTTATACTATTTTTATGATATATTTTTATCTCTTTTTTATCTTATCACTTTTTTTTTTTCCTTTTTCTTCTCTTTTTTCTAATTTATAAAAGGGTTATGTAAATTTATTGTACAATTCATATTTTTCTAAGTATAGCGTCACTTTTTCTTCACTTTTTTTCTAAATGAGGTTCCTACACCTTGATGAGTCATGAACCTGTGAAAATATCTAAATTCTAAAGTCTTGTTAAAGGAACTATTTTTCAACAATTTCTATGAAGAGCCTCATTTTTTGTTAAAAAGAGGGTTACATTTCGAGGAGTTTCAAAATTTTTGAGTCATAAATTGAAAACATCCAAAACTTGTCAAAATAGGAATCGATAAGAGAAATTATTCTAAGTCTACGAGACAAGATGTAGCTCACAATTTTTTTTTAAAACTTGTAGAGACAAGAATCGACAACCAATAGATTCCTCTATCGAATAGAATTTTTCCTCCTTTACTGATTGATTCCTCCGAGAAATGTCAAATAGTAGGGACAATGGAACAGTGAGATTCTTTCTTCAGCGATGGATGCAGAGGCAATTATAATGCAACTGTTAATGGTTGAGCCTCCTCTTCTTCTTGCTACCTTACTTGTGATACTTTATACTTTCTACAGCAAGAAAAATGTTTGCATATAGTTGAAGGGCTTTTGCACATGAAGAAGAAAAGGAAGAAGAAGTTGTTAAGTCAGATGTGGCATTATACTATTTTCAAATAGAATCCCTAAAGAAATTGTTGTAAAGCTATCGTCATTACCATCGTTGCTATTTGAGCTGTTAGCGCAATTGAAGGAGAAGATGCTCTGACTTTTGTTTTCAGGAAGCTAGGGAGTCTTTGGTACTTCCAACCAATGAGAGTCATTTTACCGATAACTTATTTGAGGAAGAAGACCCCAATACCTCTATCAATTGACTATCTTGATGCGAAGGGGCCGCTTCTTCATGAACCAAAAGTGATAGTTTTCCTAAATCAATAGATCCTTTTTCTCACAACATTTTTGGAGCAGGCTCAGTGCTTTCTTTAGCCTTGGGAGAAATCGATTCGATAGTGAGAATCAATTGAGACTTAATCAATTGAAAGCTAGAACTAACGCCACGCCATGGTCTATGACTTTTGATAAAACTTAATTAGAGGTGTCAATTCATATCTTTGAAATAGTTATCTCTATGGACCTGAAATAGAGAAACAGAACAAGAAACCAACTCAACATGCAACCTATCCAAGTAATAATAATAGAGAAAAAAAAATAGTCACTAGCTATAGCAATCTATAAACCAGTAAATCACTAACCACAGAAATCTATTTGTATATCAACAAATATATCAAGAATAGAATAAAAAGAGAGAGAGAGAGAGAGAGGAAAAACATAAGATTTATGTAGTTTAGCATAATTTGGCCTATGTCCATGAGAAAGAGCAACAAATTTATT